GGCCACGTGACCACCGAGCTCCTGGCCGCGCCCCTTTGAGCCGCCCACTGCAGGGCCCTGGTTGCAAGGCTGTCCCCTTCTCCACCACAGAGCTCGGGGATGGCGGGGTGGGGCATGGAGGGGTGCTGCCTCTCACCTGACTTGGAGAAGTAAACGTCCTCGGAGGACTGGCGGGTCCGCAGGCTCTTCCTCCTGAGAGAACCCCCCCGGAGAACCAAACACACAGGGAGGTCAGCGACCTGCTCTGGCCAGGAGCCTCCTGCTCCCCTCTGGGCGCTTGGTGAGCTCAGCACTCCGCTCAGCAGGCAGAGGGTGCAGGGAAGGCAGCGGGAGAGGCGGGGAGGAAATGAGCAAGCAAGCAGGGCTCGCTCCTTGGGATCTACGCCCCATAATGGCCCCTTAAGTGGCCATAATGAGGGCTTTCCTCATTAGAGCTCCCAGAGCTTCCTGCCTGCGTGTCCAGAGGAAGTGTGGACACACCGTTACTACCAAGAGCAAAGATAACGACCGCCACGTCCTGAGCTCCTACGGCGTGCCAGGCGCTGTGCTGGGCCCTTTACGGCTGCCTGCCTCTTCACAGCCCCCAGGAGGCAGGGATTCGATTACCATCAGCCCCATTTTCCAGACAGGAGACTGAGGTTCCCGCCCCCTCTGCGTCCCACCTCAGCCCTTGGGAAGCCCGGGCGGGGCTCCAACTAACCTGCGATGGATGAAGACGCCGATTCCTGCTAGCACCAGAAGCAAGATAACGCCAACAACCACACCACCAATCACCGCCATGTTGCCAGATCCTTCCGTGGCTGTCAGGGAAAACCAGCTGATGTCAAGGGAGTCCCCCACGCTCCAAATCACGGCAATGCCGTGGATTTGGATTTGCACCCAAAGGCCACTTGAGGGACCCGAGACATGTGCTGGATGCTTTTACTTGTGACGGTGCATGAGAATATTTATTCCCATTTCATAGATGGCAAATGATAGGTCCTCCCCAGGGAAAACAGTAAGTTTTCCAGGTGTGTGGGACTCTCTCGGTGACATGGGATTTGAACCGAGTCTGCCAATGCCGGACCCTACGTCCCTCCTTCTCACAATACTGCCCTGAATGCACGTCCTTGGTCCCCCGCCCCCAGCCCTCAATTCCGCCCCTTCCCCAGACTTGGGGCTGACCCCCACACAGGACTATCCCAGGCCCAGGCTGACCAGGAGGGGGGCATTGCTAAGTTCTCTGATCCGTTTCCTCCTCCCAGATGTCCCACCTGTTCTGTTTCAGGGCCCACGTTCCCGGTACCCAACTCACACAACGTCTGGAACTCATGAATCTTGCTGCCGGCCCCCTGGCCTTCCTGCGTCAGCGCCTGCACCTGGACCAGGTAGGTGGTATCCGGAGCCAGGTCGTCCAGGGTCACAGAGAAGCCCTCGGTGCGGCGCACGTTGTAGCTGTTGGAGTCCCCCTGGGGGTGGCCATGGAGAGAGGGGCCGATGATGAGGGCAGGGCAGGGGTATCAGCCCGCCAGAGACCACTCCCAGCCCAGCCTAGCAAGGAGGCTCACTTTCTCTAGCACACTCGACACTCTTCTTACAGACGAGGAAACCGAGGCTCAGAGAAACGAAGTGAGTCACACAAGGTTATAGCCAGCAGGTGCACGACCCAAAACTCACACCTAGGTCTGTCTGACCAGGTTGGGTCAGGCTTTTTTAAAGACCAGCCTTTTAAAAAAAATTATTTTAATGTTCATTTATTTATGAGAGAGAGAGAGAGAGAGAGAGGGA